TAGGGTTTTTGGGGTTTTAGGGTTCTTTGGGTGTAGGGTTTTCAGGTTTTGCCGGGGCTGTCTGGCTTGGTGTGTTAGGTTTGGGGAATTGCATATTTACGGCTGCGGCCTAGGATGGGTGGGTTGAAAGCTTTATGATGACAGTCATGATGCTGTTGAAGATGACGATGAGGATGTCTGTTCAAGTCTATTCCGCACTTTCGTTCGCTGTCTTGACATGTCTGATAATGCCGGGCAGCTGAGGAAGTGGTGGGGCTTGAGCTGACAGGGCAGTTGGCCCCGGGTGTGACAGTCCCCTGATTGTAATTACGCTTTCCTAGTTCGGTAGCAGCGACGGATTTTCCGGTTTACTTTTCGGGGCCTGGAGGTTTGCGGTTTCGGGCGTCGGCAGCAAAGGCAGTGGCAGTGGCAGTGGCAGTANNTAGCAGTAGCAGTAGTTGTAGCAGTATCTTCGTGCTGGGACTCCTGATCGTCGGTGTGCCTACTGAAGAAAAAGGCGTTCGGCATCAGGTTGCTCCAGCAGTGCGGGGTCCCCATGTCGTGGTCGGTGAAGAAGATGCTATCCACACTCTTCGCCAATCCTTATCAGAGCGAAGAGCTTTCTTTTTTCGCGAAAGTCAGTTGATGAAAGTTGAATCAGTCCTATGAGGAACACCATTTTCTAGCATCAGCCTCATTCTATTTGCGAGCAAGGAATCGAAACGCCCGCCGCCAGTTTCTCCCGTTTGCTCACGCATTCCATCGCACACGAGCTAGGTACCAGTGTTACTGAAGCAAGAGTTGAGAGCTTTGGCGCCTGTGCTTGCTTGCTGATAGATTTCCAACAAGAAGCAACCTGGTGAGTTTCGCTTCGGCGGCAGTTGTGCATTGTCTCTCTATCTTCTCAACCCGCAGCGGTGAAAACTGCGTTCTTTGTTCGCCTTTCTCCCCAAGCACGAAACGCTTGCCCTGAGCATCCCGAGGCTACTGACCTGGTGCTTACTGCCGCTCGACTCGCACTTGATCTTTGCCGGTATTTCTTGGGGTGTGGAGCTGAGAGCCTCGAATTGAGGGTGTCTGCAGACGCATCGGCATGAGAAAGGGTAATACTGAACGGTGACTCATGTCTCTTTTTCCTCCCATCCTCCTTCAGGTAGCTTCAAGTGTAGATCTCTGAGATGATGGAAGCCTCGATGCCCACCTCGTNNGGGTTTAGGGTTTAGGGTTGCTAAACGGTTTGGGATCACAGCTGAATCACAAGCCGAAGGCTGACAAACCTTCAGGGCTTAGGGTACAGGGGTTCGGATGAGATTTCTGGTAGGAAATAGAGCTTAGTAGGGGAGGCCCCTACGCCGAATCCTCACTCAACAGGTTTTATCAGAGGCGTTGTGCACGGAAACCGTCCAGAAGCGGAAGAAAACAACATGGTCGGTGGTCTGCTGAAAGTCATGTAGCCCTTCGGAGTGTGGCATGTCATCACGAACTTCGGCAGCTTGAGGCTACGTTTCCCCCGATGCAAGGAACTGAGGCTTTCACGAAGAGCCCGGGCCTCAAAACCCTAAAAACACGACCCAAAATCCGTGGGCTCCAAGCGTTTACCCTGGAGACTGGACCCACGTGCAGTTCTGAGGTGACGGAGTTGCTGCGACAGCAGCGTGTGGTGGGCAAGGTCGTGGAGGTTTTTGGCAGCGGTGCGGTGCCCCGGCGGTGGATTTGTTTTGCAGTGTTGGGAGAAAACAGCATGAATAGTAGAAAGACTGATAAAACCTGAGTGGCAACAGCAGTAGCGGAGCTTGGATGCACAGCCAGTGAACCCCTGTACGGCAATCATTTCGTGGCAAAAATAATGTCAAAGGACTTATGGTATAATTTACTCAGAATGACGGCATCCGGCATCTTCTTGGGTTTTGGGGTAAGAGTGTCTTAGGCTTTAGGGATAAGGTTTTGGGGCTTATGGTTTATCATTCCTTCGACGCTCGTCTGTAAAATGTGGTGTGGAAGTTTGCAGAAGCCACCCTAAGGGTTTGGGGATCCTGTTGGGTTGTTTAACGTTTAGGGTTTCTTTTTCTTGAACAGGGGCGGCTCAGACCCCAACCCAACACCCTGGCAGCTGGGAAGGAAAGTTTGGCCGTCACCGACCGCCTCACTGTGGCAAACATGGCACCGGAGTCTCGGCTAGATCTTCGGAGAAGCCCTAAAACCCTAAACCCTAAACCCTAAACCCTACGACCTGAATCCTGGGCCCCTAAACCCTAAACCCTAAACCCTGAACCCTAGCAGCAACGACCCCAAGACCAGGAATCGAAGGAAGAAGAAAGATGCTAAAACCCTAGACCCTCAACCCGAAGAGTTTCTTCCGCTTCGGCTTTGGGATTCAGGTCGGGAGAAGGGTTCAGCGTTTAGGGTTTAGGGAAGATGGTTTAGGGTTTAGGGATTAGGGTTTCGGGCTTAGGGATTAGGGTTTAGGGTTTAGGGCTTTAGGGAGGATTGTACAAGGGCCGGCCATGCTGTGGTACTGCTTTGGCTATGCTTCTTGGCAGGCCCAGCAGATCCTCTGTTACTTGGTAACCCCAAACCCTAAGCCCTAAACGTCTTAGTGCCACCTTGAGTTCATATCGTAACAGATCGAAGCCGGATATCTTGAGTCCCCCGGAACCCGCAACACCGAAACGCCATAAACTCCAAGAAGCTATATCCCAAGCCGTGAACCCGAAGACATCAACCCTACAACGACCAAACCGCTCATTTCGCGCCACCGCAATGGAAGGAGTGCGGTGCGACCTGCATCCTCTTCTCGGTTGATTCGAGGCATTTTTCGGGGATGCTCACAGGGCAGCTACTACTAGTGCTATTACAACAACGACGACGGCTGCTACTGCTCCTGCTTATGCTCCTTCTGCTGCTACTGCGACGGCTACTCCTACTCCTAGTCCTCCTACTACTGCTGCTGCTACTACCACTACTACCTGCTACCTACTACCTACTACCTACTACCTACTACTACTACTACTACTACTACTACTACTACTACTATCCCTGAACCTCAAGGGTTTAGGGTTTAAGGCTGATTGCCTAGGGTTTAGGGCTACCACAGCCTGGAAATCCGATTTAGAGATTGTGTTGCAAGGTGTGTTTAGGGCTTATGGTTTGCAGTTTGGCATCAGCTTGGTATTCGCAGTTCGGGTTCGCAAACCCGAAGAAAACCCTAAATACCAAGCCCTGAACCCATCCGTTGCTGGGGGTTCGGGGTGTAATTTTAGGGGAAAGCAGCCGTAGAGTTTCCCTGCCCACATGCCCAAGAGGTTTCCTAAACCCGAAATCCGAAATCCGAAACCCTAAACCGTCCAAATCGCATCGCCTCACAGTCGGGGTTTACGCGTCCTTTTGCAAGTTTGTCTGCTGCAGGGTTTCGGGGGGGGGGGCCTTAAGCCTCCTCCTACCTTCAACAGGAAATCCGAAGCTTCATCGCTCTAAACTTCCCAAAGCTTAGGCCCGGACCTTAAACCCTAAACCCCAAACCCTAGACCCTACACCCTAGACCTTAACCCCTAAACCCTAAACCCTAGACCCTAAACCCTAAACCCCAAATCCTAGACCCGAAACCCTAGACCCTAAACCCTAAACCCTAGACCTTAACCCCTAAATTGCAGCTTCGGCAGTGCGAAAGGGCCAATACACTTTAGAAAAAAACAACCCTAAACCCTAGACCCTCAACCCTAAGCCCTAAATCCTAGACCCTAAACCCTAGAACCTAAACCCTAAACCCTAACCCCTAAACCCTAGACCCTAGACCCTAGACCCTAGACCCTAAACCCTAGACCCTCAAAACCCCCCAAAAATCCCAAGACCCGACCCTCAGCTCGGGATCCTCTCAAGCTCCCCCCCTCCCAAAGGACTTTGCGGTACCTTCAGATGACGGGACGAGAGAAGGCGCACGTGGACCGTGTGGAGGCGCAACGTTAGGGGGTGACAGGGATTCCTCGAGGTTTTAGGATTTAGGATTTAGGGTTTAGGGTTTAGGGTTTTTTTGAGGGTTCCTGAACCCATAGGCCCTGAGCCCCTTAAGCCCTAAGCCTCTTAAGCCCTAAAGCGGCTTGTTTGTCCGTTTTGGTCCTCTGCCTCCCTTATGCGTTCTCGGTCCTAGATGTCCGCTGCATGCTCGTCATAGAGTCACTTCGGGCAGGCGCCCTTTTGCCCTGAAGGTCTTGACAATCCCTAGGCCCTAGGCCCTTTCTGCCGGCCGAAAGGCACATGCTCGGCTTTTTTCGTTTCTACCGTTTTGCTTCCGGTCTAAACTCTGAGCCCTAAATCCCAAACCCTGGAGCCGCAAAAAGGGTTTCAAGACCGCTGAACCAGCACAGCTGGATCCCACGGGCCCTTGGGTCTCTGCGTCTTGCATGAGGGTAGTTGTCTAACTTCGGGTGCCTTTTCGTGTCCTTTGTACAAGGGTGCCGTGCATTTTTGGGGACCCAAGGAGGGACCCGAATTTAGAGAACTGCCCATGGAGTGTTTGGTGGGTTTGAGCAAGCTGCAGAAACAGAGGAGGGATTCAGGGAAGAATCTAGGCTTC